CCCCAAAACCCCAAAACCCCAAAACCCCATTATTGAAAATAGGCAAAGTAATCAGAGATTAGTAAATTTACTCATAAATAATGAGAGATTTAAATGTATAAATCTTAATAATGAAAAATCTTTAGAAACTCAAATAGTTGAACATAATCAAAAGTCACTTCTCATCAGGAATAAAAAATTAATAAGTCAGAAATTACACTTCTTATCAAACTCCATAAGTGTTAGTGGCTGTAGCTAATGGATCTGAGGAAATTGAAACTGTTACCATCACAGATGTTCTTACAAGATCTGATATCCATGTTACTCTAGTCAAAGTTCTAGATGAAAAGGAAGCCTCCTAACAAGGAGGGATTGATGCTTCTCCATTTCACAAAATTTGTGTGATGTCTAGAGGACTCAAATTGGTAAATTCAAACTCTATTATCTGATTACTAGATCGCTGATGACATTTTGAATGACAATTTTTAAAATAGAGACTTTGACATGATAGTGTTACCTGGAGGAGGTCTAGGAGCAGTAAGCTAAATCAATGAATCAAACAATCATTTTATAGTAAAACTTCGCCAAGAGCTAAATCCTGATTGATTTTTTGAGAAACCATGCCCATCACAATCGATACATAGCTGCAATCTGTGCCTCTCCTGCTGTCGTATTGAAAGAGCATGGTTTTATTGGAGACAAATAAGCTACCTGCTATCCAGGATTCATAAATACTATGACTTTAGACAATTATGTTGATGAGAAAGTAGTTGTGTCTGGGAAATTAAGTATGAAATTTTACTATAATTTTACTTATTTTTATAGTTACCTCATAAGGACCAGCAACTTCAATGGAATTTGCTTTGAAGTTAGTAAAGATTTTAAAGGGTTAGGGGGAAGCAGATAAAAATGCAAAAGATTTACTATTTGATGCTAAGCATTTGTGATAAATATTTAAATTTGTATTTAGAGATTTAGTTGTGATTTTCTGATGATTTGATTCTTGATTATTTGCTTAAATTGCTAATAAGGGGTTTTGGGGTTTTGGGGTTTTGGGG